CACTCTTCACTGCTGGTTCCGTCCAGTCCTCCAGAGACTGAATGCTCTTCACCGCTGGTTCCGTCCAGCCCTCCAGAGACAGTATGCTCTTCACTGCTGGTTCCGTCCAGCCCTCCAGAAACTGAACGCTCTTCACTGCTGGTTCCGTCCAGTCCTCCAGAGACTGAATGCTCTTCACTGCTGGTTCCGTCCAGTCCTCCAGAGACTGAATGCTCTTCACTGCTGGTTTCGTCCAGCCCTCTAGAGTCTGTATGCTCTTCACTGCTGGTTCAGTCTAGCCCTCCAGAGACAGTATGCTCTTCACTGCTGGTTCCGTCCAGCCCTCCAGAGACTGAATGCTCTTCACTGCTGGTTCCGTCCAGCCCTCCAGAGACTGAATGCTCATCACTGCTGGTTCCGTCCAGTCGTCCAGAGACAGTATGCTCTTCACTGCTGGTTCCGTCCAGCCCTCCAGAGACTGAACGCTCTTCACTGCTGGTTCCGTCCAGCCCTCCAGAGACTGAACGCTCTTCACTGCTGGTTCCGTCCAGCCCTCCAGAGACTGAACGCTCTTCACTGCTGGTTCCGTCCAGCCCTCCAGAGACTGAACGCTCATCACTGCTGGTTCCGTCCAGTCTCTCCGAGGCCGAGCTCTCTTCTTCGCTGGGCCCGACCAGCCCAGCCCCAGAGACCGTCCTGCCAACGCCACAGACCGTCCAGCCAGCGCCAGAGAACGTCCAGCCTGTGCCGGAGACCGTGCAGCCTGCTCCGCCCTGGCCACGCCCTCAGCCTGCTCCGCCCTGGCCACGCCCTCAGCCTGCTCCGCCCTGGCCACGCCCTCAGCCTGCTTCGCCCGGGTCTCGCCCTCAGCCTGCTTCGCCCGGGTCTCGCCCTCAACCTGCTCCGCCCTGGCCACGCCCTCAGCCTGCTCCGCCCTGGCCACGCCCTCAGCCTGCTCCGCCCTGGCCACGCCCTCAGCCTGCTCCACCCTGGCCACACCCCTCTCAGCCCTCAGTTCGTCCCCCCTCCTTCCTCTGATCTGCGGCGTGAGGTCACGCCTCCCGGGAGGGGGGAGTTCTGTCACAGTCCTCCGTCTGCACCAGTCTGTCTTGTCTTCAGCACTACACTTCCCAGGATCCTCTCGTCACCCTATCCCGTGTTCACTCCCTCATCAGCCACCTGTTCCTCGTCTTGATCATCTGTTTCACCTGTTTTCACCCCATTATGTTTGATTATTTTGTGTATTTAGTTCCCTCTGTTTTACTCTATGATTGTCGGTCGATGTTGTATGTTACCCGGTGTTACCCTGCCTTCCTGCCTGTATTCCTATTAAATTTATATCTTCATTGTGAATCTGGACTCCTCCCGTTCCTTCCGCCTACACTCCTGCATTCCTGCACCTTTACCCGTGACAGACTGATTGTTGTCTTGTCTTGTTTAAAATGACTGGAAGGCTAAAACTGAATTGCCCTATGGGGAGAATTGAACTTGAATTGAATTGAATTGAATTGGACATAACGGTCATTTTGACCATTTTGAATTTTATATCTACAATAACTTTGTTGAAAAAAATAATAAAATCCTGCTGGTACCTGACTTTTCCTAAAATTGTCTATATTTTCATTTAAAATGCTTTTCATATAAATTAAGTTACGTAAACATAAGGCAAAACAAAAAAATGAACATATTTACCTATTTCGGCCATAGACGGTCATATTGACCGCACTGAATTTCACGATATTTTTTTTCATTTCCTTCTCATCAGAGAGTGATTCAGAGTCAGAGTCCACATCAAGGAAAAAATGACGGCTGCTATCATCAGACACGGCGGATCCAGATGTTCCATTCATGTCGGATGATCCTAGTGAGCTCCGCTGCCCTGTCCTGCGCTGTTTGTTTTGCTGCATGGGCTGTTCACTAGTTCTGCTAGTCCTATTATTTGACATTTTCATCATAGTTTTTGTCATTCAAACCTAGTTTTTATTTAGTTATCGTCTCGTTTTCGTCTTTGAAAAAATGTGGTTGACAAAAATAATAACGAAAATTATTTGTTAACGAAATAAACACTGTTTTGAATCTAACGGTCAAAATGACCGTTTGTGGCCGTTCTAGTAGTTTTGGAATTCTGGCACTTCCAGTGTTAAAATGCGCAGCACAGAGAGCTATGTCATTTTCAGGAACATAATCAAACATAAAATGTGTCCTTTGTTGATGAACCACAACGTCCGTGGGAAGCCCAAACACAGAAGACCTGACAGCTGGGTGAACATAACACTCTCGATGAGCCGCAGAAATATGCAGTAGCACCTCAATGCAGTACATGAGATCCACGGGGAGGAGTCGGATCAAGATCCAAGGGGTAGAGATCGGTAGGATTAGGGTTGGGTAGAGATTTGGGGTGGGTTTAGGGATCAGGGGCCCGTTCTTCGTACGTTGCTTAAAACATCCGAGATCAAATGAGACATCCAAGATAGTATCATCGTGCTCATCATGATCCAGCTAATTGGGTTCTTTGAACACTCCTGCCGGTTATGATTAGTATAGCTGGATTGAGTCACCTGAGATAACTGCGCTTTCTCGCACTGGTTTAAAAGGGGACATGTATCGATAGCAGAAACAGTGATCAGCAACGCTTCTATTGGCTGTTTAGCACGGCCAAAGAACACGCCCAGTTTTTCTCCCAACCAGAACAAGTGCTTTTAATGGAAGGTTATGCCGAATTTCAGTCTTTAAACAAAATAATAATGTAGCCTATAAACGGCACCCTCACAACGATCGTTTCACGAGAAAAAAATAAATCTCAGAGATTAGGCTACACTATCGCGTTGCGCTAAAGGACTTCCCGTATCAGTCGCGATCTAATCCTGCTAACATGAAATAAGCCTGCTCGCGAGCAGGTTCAAGCTGGCGCACCTGTTGCTATGACAGCAAGTCCAGGATGAGCTTCGAAGAACCAAACAATCCAAGATCATGGCAAATCGACAACAATCAAATCCAGCTAACTGAGTTAGCGACGTACGAAGAACGGGCCCCAGGTCTTGTGTGTTTGATTCCTGCTGTGTCTGGATTACTTACTGGCTGACTGTTTTTAGATAACATCTTTGTTATTCGGCTGAGATCCCAACCCATTGCGGTCCCCTTGCTTCCATCCCTGCGCTATTGCATCTGACCATCTCTCCTGTTTATTATCAATAAACGGTATATTGCATTCACAACTGGATCTTGTGTTCTTTACCCCTGACAGATTTTTTTTTCTTATGCACCTAAACAAGCATTGTGCTCATTATTATCACCCACATTATCTTTGGATTATAATTCACTGTTGTAATTGTGATGGAAATTTTCTACCCTCTATGGGGTCCCTGGTCCTAAAAAGGTTGAGAACCCCTGAATAAGGTGATTATGTCACATACTGCCATTACAATGTTTTGTGTTATGGCTTCAAGGGAAATCGTTTTCAAATGACACAACATGACTCAGTCACATGGTAATTTGAAGTCTGGACTACAAGGACATTGTGTTTGAGAGTTGATGTTGTGAAGTAGGATGCAGGAGTGAGTGGACACATCTGGACTTAAAAAATGGGCAAACTATACTCACAGAATCCCCTGTGTAAGTGTTTTGAAACATGGTGACAGCACAACTCAGCAATGAAATGAATGTTGGCTAAGTGTGTGAGCGACTGGACAGCCGTTTCTAATGAGAATCATGGTGTATGGGGAAAAGTCACTAAGCTTCCATTGCCGTTAAAACATGAACCTAGATTTGGACATGCCGTTCCCACGGTCAGAACTTTTAGCTATAGGCTCAGCTCAAATGTGACTGTCGATTTTTCATTACACTGCAAAAAATGCTTAAAAGATTTTTTTTTAATCAAAAACTCTTTTCCATTAGAAAACAAGGCATAATATCTAATGCCATTTATTTAATTGTCTAGTAAATGGATCTAGATTTCAGATTTTTTTTAATATATATTTGGACTGGAAACAGGACAAAAATAGGTACAAAGAGTGTTTTTATTTTATTTTTGTTTTTGTTGTTTGCAGATAAAGCAACATTTTTGTGTATAATGTTGCTCTAAAGTATACCTCTAGAATTGTGTTTTACATGCACAGTAACATGTTATTGGTATTGGCTGACAGCTGTAGTTGAAATGATAATGAATTAATATCTGAATTTAAGAGCGAAATATAAAGAAATAAAATCAAGATCATGCAGGGGTGTTTATTTTATTTATTATGCCCTTGTTAAAGTGTGCTTAACTGAATTGAATGTGCACATATACAGTAAGTATCTTATTTATTTATTTTAAAAACTACACAGTGCTTGCAGATAATATAATATCAATTAAATAAAAGGCCACTTAAGTATACGTAAAAAAAGTACATTTTCATAACATATTTTAAAAAGTGCACTTTGTAATATTTGTAATAAAGACTTAGAACTATTATGCTAAAATGTATGTCATCTCACAATCATGAGCCCTGACAAATCAAAAATTTCACATAATCTGAACACCAATTCTCTCAGGGCCAACAGTAATGTACATTGTGAAGTATTATTCCACTTCGTCTCACTGTTTTCCCCTAGGTTCTGTAGACATGACAATACCAGTAACAATTTTTTTAGTTCCGAGATTATGCAGCTTGTTGATTCATGACATTGCACTGGTTGACTATCTGGAAAGGTGCAATTTCACTTCACATGTATTGCAAAGATTAAATGGCTCTTTTTCTAAAATGTTATATATGCACCATTAGGAACTGACTGTAGATGGAGGCATCTATTTTGAATATTTAAATAGTACATTTCAGTTATTAAATTAAAATTAGACATTTGATCTTATTGACATTTTGACATTTGAATTGACATTTTACATTAGGCATCTATTTTTAATATTTTAATAGCAATTACTGACCATCACCGAACATCACATTAATTTAAAATGCATTCAGAAGCTGGGTTTCGTTTTACTGTATTAAAAGTCACTGTACTAATTCACAATATTTTTTGTACCATAGAAGAGAGTGGAGTCTCCCTGCTGCAACTTATTGGAAGCCCTCCGCCTGAAGACATCACCCAGGCTCCAGGTCCAAATAGACAAATCGCTTACCTCTTTACAAAGGATACCAAAACGGGGCAGATGGCACGTGCCCACTTTCCCACTCATTTCTACCGAGACTTCTCTCTTGTGTTCCACTTGAAGCCCACCTCTGATGATGCTGGGGTCCTCTTCTCCATCACAGACTCCAATCAAAATATCATGTACGTGGGGGTCAAGCTCTCAGCTGTGGAGGATGGTAAAAGGAAAGTTATTTTTTATTACACAGAGCCTGATTCAGATAGATCTCAAGAGGTGGCCAGCTTTGAGGTGGCACACCAGCCTCAAGTGTGGAGTCGCTTCTCTCTGGCAGTTAATATGGACCAAGTGTCTTTCTATGAGGATTGTGATACTGAGCCCAAGGTGGTAAAGTTTGAGCGCTCTCCTGATGACTTGGAGCTGGAGACAAACTCCAGGATCTTTGTTGGACAAAGCGGAACTGATGACCCAGACAAATATCAAGTATGTCCTGTGTATCATTGACTGTGCTATATTTGTAATTTTTCTCAAATACACAAAGGGTCATTCTCAGGGGTGTGGACAACAAGGAATGTTGACCTGGACCCTTTGTATCCTTTCCATCTGTCTCTGTCTGTTTGTCTTTCTGTTAAATTATTAATCGTCCCAGACAAATATGATCTAGCTACTCTTTGGTCAACATATGTTCCCTATCGGTCAGTAACTACACCATAGATCATGACAGACCAATAGGAATCTCACTAGAGAGCCAATTTCGAGTGAATCTAAAACAAGCCACATTGGCGTGCAATCATTTGCATCAGCTGCGCGGCCTCGTCAGTGCAGGTATATAATGAGCAGCTGTTGTGATTGCACTTCAGCTTTTTGCTTCGGAGCCTAAACTTCGATGCCTCTGTGTTTTCTTAAAAACAAGACCATTTGGACCTCTCTGATCGGTGCGGGCGTGACGGCACAGGCAGCGCGAGCAGTTTGTGACCTTCAGCCCGTGGTCAGATCCCTCCTTCCTTCGGACAGGAGTCCCCTTGGAACAGGTATCCAGGCATGCTGTGGTGTTCACAGATGCCTATGCCACCAGCTGGGGAGCTACTTCCAACGGGCATGCAGTATCAGGGGTGTGGACGGGCCCTCATCTGCACTGGCACATCAATTGCCTCGAGTTGCTGGCAGTATATCTCGCTCTGCGCCGCATGAAAAGGCCGCTGCAGGGCAGGGATGTGCTGGTCCGCACAGACAACACTGCATTGCATACATCAACTGGCAAGGTGGTCTACGCTCCCGTCGCATGTCCCAATTTGCCCGCCATCTCCTCCTCTGGAGTCAGAAGCATCTGAGATCGCTTTGAGCCATGTATATCCATGGTGTGCTCAACCGTGTGGCCGATGAGCAATCACGAGCTGTGCTTCCGGGAGAATGGCGACTGCACCCCCAGGTGGTTCAGCTGATCTGGAGAGAGTTCGGGGAGGCTCAGGTAGACCGGTTTGCCTCCTCAGAGACCTCCCACTGCCAGCTATTTTACTCCCTGACTGAGGGAACCCTCGGCACGGGTTTACTGGCACACAGCTGACCCTGGGGCGTTCGCAAATATGCATTTCGCCAGTGAGCCTACTTGTGCAAACACTGTGAAAAGTCAGGGAGGACAAGGAGCAGGTCGTTCTGGTTGCTCCCTACTGGCCCACTTGGACCTGGTTCCCAGAACTCATGCTCCTTGTGACAGTCCCTTCCTGGCCCATTCCTCTGAGGAAGGATCTTCTGACTCAGAGACAGGGCACCCTATGCCACCCATGTCCAGACCTCTGGAAACTCCATGTCTGGTCCCTGGACGGTACTTAACACCATCACTTCAGCACGGGCGCCGTCCACGAGACGTGTCTACGTCTAGCTGAAGTGGAACTTGTTCGTCGAGTGGTGTTCTTCTCGCCGAGAGGACCCCCGAAGATGTTTGATGGGGTCTGTGCTTTCCTTCTTGCAGCAAGGGTTGGAGCGAAGACTGTCTCCCTCCACCCTCAAAGTTCATGCTGCTTCTATTTCAGCTTATCACGACCACATAGATGGCAAAACAGTTGGAAAGCACGACCTGGTCGTCAGGTATCTTAGGGGGACGAGATGATTAATTCCTCCTTGACCCCCCTCCTAACCCTCTTGGGATCTTTCCCTGGTGCTCCGAGCACTTCAGGATGTCCCCTTTGAGCCTCTGCAATCAGTAGGCTTAAAGCTTCTTTCCATGAAGACTTTGCTACTGGTTGCATTGGCCTCTGTCAAGAGGGTAGGAGACCTGCACACATTTCCGGTCGATGAATCGTGCCTAGTGTTCGGGCCAGGTGACAACCATGTGGGATTAAGACCCCGGCTTGGCTATGTGCCCAAGGTTCCTACCACTCCCTTCAGAGATCAGTGCCTAGATTTTGGGCTTGGTGACAACCATGTGGGATTTAGACCCCGGCCTGGCTATGTGCCCAAGGTTCCTACCACTCCCTTCAGAGATCAGGTCCTGCCCTTAGAGGAGGCAGACCCAGCCCGGGCTCTGCTCTCTCCCGTTCGTGCTCTGCATATGTACGTGGACAGAACTCAAAGCATCAGCTCTTTGTCTGTTACGGAGGCCAGCAGAAGGGAAAAGTTGTCTCCAAGCAGAGGATGGCCCATTGGATAGTGGATGCCATCGCCTTGGTTTACCAAGCTCAAGGCGTGCCCTGCCCGCTCAGGTTGCATGCACACTCTACGAGAGGCGTTGCATCCTCTTTGGCACTGGCTCGTAGTGCCTCGCTAAGAGATATCTGTAGAGCTGCGGGATGGGCGACATGGCCGAGCGTCCGGAGCCAGGCCCCTGTCCGCTAAATCCCTGAGAGCCGGACCCGGGCTGGGTCCACCCTTCGGGGAACCCATATGTGTAAATTTTCCACAGTAGCTCCTAAGACGGAAGCCGTGTCTTTCCCTTGCTCTAAGTCACCCATTGTTTCATATGCAGTACAGCCTTCGGGTTAGTCCATATGTATTTCCACTTAACTCTTTGAAGAAAGTGGGTTCCGCAACGTTCCCCTCCCACATAAAAGGTCACGCTTTCCCAGTGTTATCCAAAGTCTCACTGTATGGGTTATAGAGGAAGAGCAGTGTCAGACACTCCACGTGTAAGTCCTCCTCCTATCGTCCTTCCAGGCAAGAAGGTGCAGAGGCTTGTATAGGGCGCTGGATGGGGTGCAGCGACTGTGGCGCTTTGGTAGGGATTACTATTGGTCAGTCATGACCTACATTGTAGTGACTGACTGATAGGGAACGTCTCGGTTACATATGTTAACCCTCGTTCAGCGAGGGAGGGAATGGAGAGATAGGTCCAGTTGCCACATCTACTGCCACCCACCGGGGGGCCAGCTTACCATGTTTGGCTCCTCAGAACTGAAGTGCAATCACCACAGCTTCTCATTATATACCCGCGCTGACGAGGCTGCGCAGCTGATGTAAATGTTTGCATGCCAATGTGCATTGGCTTGTTTTAGATTCACTCAAAGTAAATTGGCTCTCTAGCGAGATTCCTATTGGTCAGTCATGACCTACGTCTCCGTTCCCTCCCTTAGGGAACGAGGGTTACCATATGTAATCGAGACGTAATAGCTAATTTTTTCCATCCTTCCAGAAATACACTTAGATTCACAATCACAACTGATATGTTGGCTGATGTTGATGTTACCTGTCTTTTTTTATGTTTAGGGCATGATCTCAGAGTTAAGAGTGGTTGGAAACTCACGGGCTGCAGAGCGTCAATGTGATGATGCCGATGACGATTACAATGATGTAAGCTGCATATAAACTTGAGACTGTCATTCTTACATCTTTTTCAAGTTTTTATGTTTATTTTATTTTTTGCAAGGAATTTATTGCTTATAGTTTCTTTCTTTCTTTCTTTCTTTCTTTCTTTCTTTCTTTCTTTCTTTCTTTCTTTCTTTCTTTCTTTCTTTCTTTCTTTCTTTCTTTGTAAAGCACATTTAAAAACAACCCATGGTTGACCAAAGTGCTGAACAGGACAGAGTAATCAGATCGAAGATAATACAACATAATAAAATAGCACAAGCAATAGATACAATTAGAAACATAGAAAAAGAATAGAACAATTAATATAATTGAAGGTATAAGAGAGTACATTAAGGATCCACATTAAAAAAGTGTTTTTTTGATCTTAGATTTAAAGGTGGCAAATGACGTGACTGTTCTAATTGATAGTGGTAGGCTATTCCATAATTTGGGGCCTGCAACTGCAAAGGCTCGGTCACCTCGATGTTTCAGTGTTGATCTACGCACTCCGAGCAATCCAAGGTTACTAGACATAAGTGATCTAGGTGGGTTATGGAAGTGTATTAAGTCAGATTATTACCCTGGTGCTAGGCCATGTAATGATTTAAAAACAAAAAACAAAAATTTTAAACTCAATTCTTTGTTTGACTGGTATCCAGTTTTAGGGAAGTTAATGGGATAGTTCACTTTAAAATAAATTTTTAATATGTTTTAGCTTACCTCAAGGGCATCCAGGATGTAGGTGTCTTTGTTTCCACAGCATTTTCAATTTTGACATTTTTTAGTCAAACCGTTGTTGTCTGTCAGTCATATAATGCAGGTCTATGGAGCCCACCTCAATGAGCATGCACAGAGAAGTGAAAATTAAACATGATTTAATGACTTGTGTAAGTACACATTGATGGCTTAAGACACGAAACGAGCAGTTTGTGTTAGACAACGAACGGTATTTATATAGTTTTTACCTCTTGTTAACAGCCGTCGAACTGATCTGAATCAAATGTCCAACTGACTATATAGGTAAAAACTATATAAATACTGTTCGTTTTCTCACACAAACCGCTCGTTTCGTGTCTTAGGCCATCAATGTGTACTTACATTTACGAGTCATTAAATCATGTTTAATTTTGACTTCTCTGTGGATGCTCTTTGAGGTGGGCTGCATTATATGACTGACAGACAACAACGGTTTGACCAAAAAATGTCAAAATTGAAAATGCTGTGGAAACAAAGACACCTACATCTTGGATGCCCTTGAGGTAAGCTAAAACATTTCAAAAATTAATTTCAAAGTGAACTATCCCTTTAAGTTTGGAGTGTTATGATCGAACTTACGATTACCCGTCAACAGTCTGGCAGCAGCATTTTGTACTAGTTGAAGGCACCCAATGGATAATTGGTTAGTTCCAACATAAAGTGAATAACAATAGTCGATTCGTGAGGTGATTCGTATAGTTCACAGACAGGACTGACTTATTTGGCACTGACAATGTATGGAAATCTTTAAGGCTTACTAACTATCTGGTAATGTTTGTGGTAAAATGGTGGTAATGTCCGTTTTTCATTATTTGTAGGGTTCTGGAGACAACGGAAGTGGAATAGAGGACATAATGGATGTAAAACATAATTTAGTAGGTATTTTTGTATATTACTTAATGTATTTATCTGACAAAAATACAGTGTTCTGGCAAACCCCTCTAGTACTTTATAGGGGTGTGATGAGATCTCGTGAGACTAAAATATGACGAGATTTCCCGTTGAGTGAACAACTGTCTCGCAATATCGCCATGACTGAGCGTAAAGGTGAAATTACAATAGAATATTCCACCGCTACACTCACATTCGCCTAATGTGTCTTTTCAGAGAGTATAATCCATCATGGACAAAAAAAGGCCACTGCCCCCCTCTCCCATTGTGTCAAAAGCATCCAAAGAACCCCTTAAAGGCAGCGTGTTTGAAACAAGAAACACAATTATGTCAACAATTGCAGAAAAATACTTGCAATTTCTATCTAGCTGTCTCGAATTAACCAGAGTTGACACCTCTGTTCCTGCTGTGCTGCGTGATTCCTTTTCCTTCCACAGCGCCATGCATTTTAAGTGCTCTATTTCATGCGCCTGCCTGGAAAACCCCTTTGAAGAATCCATTGCATGTCTCCAGTTAGAATAGCCACTTACCGTGAAGGCCTTGTCAGCATTAGGGCCAAAACTGAACTTTCTACATGGAAAACAAAAGGCTGAATCGGAACTTGAATATTCAAGACATTCCCTTCCTTTAAACCAACCACTGCTGAAAGAACTTTCCTGCCATTGAACATACGACCTGGGTACAACTGCAGGCAGACCTGGACTGGGCTGTCTGTCCCGAGGTCATTAGGCAGCAGCAGCGGAGGAGGTTGGGGTTGAGACGGGGCTGCCGCTTGGTCCTGGTTGTCCAGGTCGACGCTTGTGCTGGGTGCTGCTGAGTATTGGTGCTCATCAAAAAATGCAGCTGCATTTTGATGGCCTTCATCTTCATCATCTGTACTCTTAATCACACTTTCAGTGTCCTTTATAGTGTCTGAAATACACTGCATATACTTTCTTATGTCCATTATTGAATATTAATGATAATTCACATTTTAGCTGATAATATCACACGTTCAGATATTTGCTCGACAACATCGAATATAACCACGCCCCTTGCTTTAAATTTAAACAACTGTATTTTCCATGTGACTTGGAAATTATTCAGGAAATTAGCCACGTCAGGAAATTAGAATGCACACAGTCAACAAAAGATAAGCCAGCATCATTTATTATGAATAATTAACCCTTTCACACTTAAAGGTATTGTAGGCTGGAATTTTATTTAAAAAAAAAACTTTTTTCCAAATTTGTTTAAACTTTCGGTATATATCAATGCCTAATTAAAATATAAGTACTCTGAAAAAGAAAGTATAAAAGAGTGTCTGTAGACCTCTCACGACTGTTTTAAAGACAGCTCATTATTTCCATTCAATTCACCCCCTCCCTTCTGGGCTCCTTCCAAAGCCACGCCCCCCAAAACACATGAACTCTGACACACTCCGACAGCTGAGCTGAAGACACATTATTTACCTGAGACGAGCAGAGAGGAAGGAGCGCAGTGCATGTAGTGACTGACATCATGTCAGAATCACATGTAACAAAAAATCTAACTTAATCATTATGAAGATAAACAAATAAGATGTATTTTAGTACTCACTATCAAGCATCAAGCTATTGGTAAAGTTTTAAATATATATTTATTGATTCGATAATGAGCTAGTCATCTACTGTATAGCCTAAGGCAAAGCTAAAAACAAGTTGCATTAGGCTATACACATTTTTCCATTGCCATCATTTACACTGTGATGAAGATGGGTTTCGTGTAAGATTCATAACATATGGTGTTCGGCATGTAAGAGTTTCCATGATGAAAGCATTGTTGACTCTGATGAGGACAGTGGGGTTAATAGCATTTATGAGTCTTCCCTTACCATCCTAGGAAAAAAAAAAATATCGCTCCCCAGATGTAGATCTACATTTTGCTTCATTTCACTTGGACATTTAACAGTGTGTACATAGGGGAGAGCGGGGCACAACCTAACGCTTGGTTTTGGCTCAATTCATTAAAAAATAATTAGGTTATATTAATAAAAAAAAATTCCACAAGCAACATACACATCTCTGCTACAAATGAACACTTAAAGTTTTTTTCTAGGACCTTTCGTACAGTTGGACTGAAAGTGACAGAAGTGCAAATGTTACAACTTACCCCATATGCGGGGTTATTTGTAACAGACAGAGGGGTTAGTTGTAACACTTGTGTGTAACACACATAATTCAGGACTATTTTATTTGTATAGTTTGATATTGTTTGTGCATCTGTATGGACAGATATCCATACATCCATCCCTCATGCAATCATCCTTCTATTGTGGATCAATATCATGAATAGAGACATAGAAAAGGGCTGCACAGTTTTGCAATAAATAATAATAAATAAAATTGTAAAATATTGTAATTGCAATTAAATTAGATTTGTGTGTGGCAGCTGCATGTACAATTATTATTATTATTAATAATAATAATAATAATAACAATAACAGTAATAATAATACAAATGAGCTTAGAATAAAAATTTAAAGGGTTTATTGCATTAAAAACATGCCATATTTTTAATAAATAAACAAGTTATCATGCATAGTACACTAAATTTTAAACATTTTAAATTCCAACATTGTTTGTGAAAGTCCAACAAAGTTAAATGTATACTCAAACCTGAATAGTTGTGTGGCTCCTTTTTCATTTGATTATCATTGTACACTTGGCGGCTTAGTTGAAACACTGTGTTACAACTAACCCCTCTGTGTATTACATATTTTAACCCTAGCTAACAGTCGCTATAGGAATTGCTGACATGTTTCAAAACGGTGCTATGTTTGAGCAAACAAGACAGCAAGGCAATATAAAGTTAGATTTGGAAATGTATACACCCAACTCAGAAACCGAAAAAAATATATGATGAAAAAAATTACTTTTATGGTGTCAAAACACTCTTTGTCCAGTATCTTCACGAAATATAATCAAAACTTTCCGCAAATTCGCGGGAGACCGTCTTCTGGCAGCAAGAGAAAAAGAGCGGAAAAACAGCCTGCTTGATCCTGACGAACTATGTAAAAAGTCTGTGTTACATTTAACCCCGCGTTAGGTTGTGCCCCGCGCTCCCCTACACGCATACACGCAGATAGCTCAAAATGTGTATAGATAAATAACACGCCACTTGACTTGAAAGTGGCGTGTATGTTTACGCAAAAGTCATGTTGTCATGTTGACACTCAAGAGACAAGTAGTCTACCGCATCGTCAGCTCGAGGACAGATCCGTGGTCGAGGGCGAAGCAGAGGAGGTCGTGCAAGAGGCCGTGCAACTAGTGTCCGAGGAAGTAGAGGCCAAGGACGGGGTGGTCGAAGTGCAGGGGAAGGAGCACTTCTTGGAAAAGAGGACCTGCGTCGAGTTTTGCATCTTCAAGCTCAAACAAGGGCATGTGAACAGGTATCTGGATACATGCAAGTGGGCAGGTCCTGTGTGGAAAAAGGGTAGTTGCCATGGTTGCGAGAGAGTGACAGTTGCCTAAGCCAATCCGTTGTTTCGTCCCGGTTTGAGATAATGAGCTGCGTTTAGTGCAGATTAAACGGTCTAGAGTCACTCGATTTGTATACTCTTTTTATCAGAGTACTTACATTTTAATTATGCATTGATATATATAGAAAGTTTAAACAAATTTGGAAAAAAGTTTTTTATGAAATTACTACCTACACAACCTTTAAATAATCATATACTGACAATTTACACTAAAGCTAAGGTCTCTGGAAAGAGAGTTTGGTAAAGTGATATTTACCTTTCGCCTGATTTGAGCGGTGACGTCTTCCACTTGCTGAGCTTGGCCGCGTTGCAGTGCGAAGAAAGAAGTTGGAATCCGTTTCACAGCCTTGAAGTATTTGTGAACGTTGCATTTCTGGAGCACAGAGAAGGTTCTTATTCTGGAACAGGTTCTAACATATGTGCAGATGATCCTTATAATCTGGAACACGCAGGTGAAAGATCACTGAAGAGAAGACTCTTAAGTCCGTACAGCAGATCCAGGCAATCTGGAACACGCAGACCTGGAGGAACTCTGAAGGGATGCTGAAGTCAGTGCAGTAGATCTTGAAAATGGAGAGTGCTGAGCTTATGATCCTATTGTATTGTCGTTAATCCTGTTGCTATTTCCAAACTCCCCAAATTCACTTCTTGTTAAACGTTTTTTACTAAAAACTTAAAATTCACAATATATATATATATATATATATGTAACCCCTCACACCCGGGTCCTACTCGCCCCGCTCCGAGCGGGCCTCGAACCCGGGTCTCCAGCAGAGCGCCTATTGAGATCGGGGAGTGAGGTTTTACTCACACAGCAACTACCAGCTGACCTCCGTTACATATATATATATATATATATATATATATATATATACAGTATATATACAGGGGTTGGACAATGAAACTGAAACACCTGGTTTTACAACACAATAATTTGTTAGAATGGTGAGGGCCTCATTTTGCATCCAAATACAGCACCAATTGACAGATAGAAGTCCTTCACAGTGACCAGAGGGATTATGAGCCGTTCCTCTTACAGAACAGTGTCCAGGTCACTATATGATGCTGGTGGACTCGCTCCTCCAAAACACCTCAATAATATTTAGATCTGGTGACTGTGCATGTTCAACATCACTTTCATCTTCATCAAACCCTTCTGTCACAAGTCTTGCTGTGTGTGTTGGTGCATGATCATGCTGATACACGGTTTGAGCATCAGGTGCTCATGATCCTCCAGAAGGGTTTGGTAGTCCTCGGCAGTGTCGTGTCCATCAAATACAATCAGGATTGTCATGATATTGGAGCTCAAACCATCACTGATCCACCCGTGCTTCACTCTGAAGATTGGCCGCCAGGCATATAGACGTGAAACCTCCAACATTGGCCAGTGTATCAGTTTCATTTGTCCAACCCCTGTATATATATATAAGGAACAGGTGTGTTTTGCCTTGTATGTCACAGTGTCTGGTTGTGTTCCCTTGTTTGTCCACTAGATGTCCTCCTTCCCCACGGTGTCATGTACTATCTGGAACTGCATTTCCCAGCATTCTGTCTGTCACTGTCACTTAGCTGTTTCCTGTAATCATTGTCCCAGCTGTTCATTGTTAGTCTTGTTAGATATGTGTGTATTTATTCCCTGTCTGTGTCAGTATTTGTTACGGAGTCGTTGTTATGTCTGACACTTCCTGGTTTGTTCCTGATTGTTCTGTGTGTTTTGTTATTTTTGTATTTGGATTGTTTACACGGTATACTTGGATCTGCTGTCAATCTCCTGTGTGTATCGTGACATTGTAGGAATACTGTATAGCCTACTTGTAGGGCTGAATTAAATAATACTAACTATAATAATAATTTTTACTTTACAGAAAACTTTTATTTTTTAGGGGGAGAAATGCAGATAGTTAGTTATATATAGTTTAGTTAGTAATATATAGTTTAGGGCCTTATGTTTATTGGGTCACAAAGATTTATCGACTTTAAAATGTGGGTCCCCAGAAAAAAAGTTTGGGAAACACTGCCCTAAAGTCTAAAATAGAAACCGTTCAAGTAAAAAGGCAAGTAAATAGACTGTTGTATAATGTATTTTTTTAGTTTGGTGAGGATACTCAATTTGCAAATCATACATTATTTTGTTACTCTGTATCCTAAACCGGTGTGACGACAAGTTTTTTTCCAGTTATGTCTTTTTTTGCTTCCCCAGGGTGATCGTGACGAGAAGAGAATGGAGGTAAACAGGGTCTATTTTAGTAATACACACACACCCTTCACCAGGGCAGCAAATAGATGTTGACTTCTGTCAAATTTCAGAAATCCATTCTGAAATCTCACAACAGACTTAAAACAAGATTTGATTACGTGGTGTTCATAGATGTCGGATACTGTAGGTCACACAAGATTGACTTTTTTTCATCTTAAAGGCAAAGAACCAACTCTATGTATGTTCTGCAAGATCCCCTTTCCATGAAACATATTGTATTGGACTGTCTTCAAGTAGCATGCTCACTTAAGGACTTGTTTAGGGAGATTTTACCAGAAAATGTTTTTGAATTTTTATCATTTGTTAATGTAAAACATCTTGTATAATATTTCTTGCCATTTTGTTTGGTTTTTATTTTTAAACTGTTTATGCAGCTCTTGTATCCTTGAAACTCAAGTTTTTGTCATGAAGATGGCCTCAAATGCTGACATAGCATTACAAACTATATTACTACTACTTCTGTCAGATTCCAGTTAGGTTGATGACACAACGCTGATGCCCATTTCTCTGTATAGGGTAGTGGGTCTGGACGTCCTGGCTCCAAAGGTGATCGTGGGCCTCCAGGACCACCTGGACCGCCTGGACCACCTGGGCCCCAGGGTCCAGTAACAGAATTGATAAAATCAGGGAATAAAAGCGTGGTGAGGATGCAGGGTCCAATGGGCCCATCAGGTCCAAAAGGCTCAAAGGGGGAGCCAGTGAGTAACATAAACATAAAGTAAACATTTGACATCAAATTAGCTTTGTAAATATTACTTTTATATATTAATTATATTCGACTGTCAGTGTCTGTAAAAAAACACAATACAATTGATAGTTTAAGAACACAGTCTAAACATAGTTTTTATGTTTTATAGGGTAAACCAGGAGAGAACAGCAAACTTGTGAGTTTTCTGGACAAACGTTTCTGGGCTGTGTTTGAATATATACTTAGACTGTGTTTATTAAGTCATCAATCTCATTTGGTCTTTCTATTCAGGGCTCTGAAGGACCTCGAGGTTCTCAAGGACTACCAGGTTCTATAGGACCTAAAGGGCAAAAGGTGGTTTGCAAATATCTTATTTATTGATATTCATTTGTATAAATTATTTTATAAAAACCTTATTACACATTATAACTTAAAGCAGGAGTATGTAAACTATGTGGGTCTGTGGTGGACAGTTTAGCAAAAAGTAATGAAATTTATAATATCTCTATCACATTTAGCCATTGAGGCATAATTAGCAATTCGTCAAGGTAAAAAAAAAAAAAATAAAATAAATAAAAAACATTGTTGACCAAAATTTTGGTAAAATATGACTGAACAAATAAAACCAAGAAAATTATAATTTTTTTCACTGCAGTCTTTGTATGGAACAATAAAAAAACATTTAGTCTTTTTTGTATCTGTAGGGACAGAAAGGAGAAGGACATCAAGGCCCTAGAGGTCCACCTGGACCTCCTGGACCTCCTGGACCCTCAATTTCAGACAAGACTGTGAGTATGAATACTGCTATTGTAGGTCTGTGTGCTTGGACTTAAAATGTGCATACAACCGAATTATCCATTGAAAGATTAGTTGGAAAAATACACTCTTACCAGAATAATTATATTAAACGTGTGACGTCGTGCGTGTATTTCAGTTAAAGCTCTTTAAGTTAACAAGCTGTCTCGTTTGTGAATTTTTTCCTTTACGTTTTATAATAAAACGACTAGGTGGAGCTTTAAGCATATTTGTGTATCCTGGTTGTTATCCACAGGAAGAGTTGTGCATGTTGTTGAACATGCATTAGTGTGACAGATTTTTTGTTCTGTGTGTTTTTACGAAGATATAGTTCTCAGAATCTTTTACGCTTAACTGTCACCATGCGGTATGGGGGATGTCTAACTTTACTTCACTATATTAGCTACTATTAAATCATAATCTAATTAGGACAAACTATATATCATTGGAAAGGTCTAAAGACTCCTAAATATATATTTGATATATATATATATATTTTTTTTTTTTTGCTACAAATTATGAAGAAAGAGTAACTGATGAATTTTTGAAAAGAGTGCACCTAAAAATCTGCATCACAACAGGATTTCTAACCTTTGTCACAAAACATTGACGCACACACACCTTTAATAATTGAAACTTTGGTTCCCTTTCGAAAGGGAACTCGCACTGCGTCGAATGACACTTTGGGGGAACGCTTCAGACATGACGGGTGTCTGAAATCACTATCAAATCACATCAATCACATTGACCGACGACAGCCCGTGAATCATTAATGTGAATGATTAACATGCGACCTGGAAGTATAAAAGGGCGCCTTTCAAACATGACAACATCTTTTCATCTTCAGGGACTGAAGGACTTGAGGGACTGTTTTGTCTGTAACCACTTTAAAAAGCAGGTAATTATGATATTCTTTCAGAAGTGTGCAGACTCGTGCTCAAGATATCTGAAGCCGGGTGACACACACGAACTGTGCATTTTTCTGTCTGGGAAGGAAGATAGGCGAGTCCCCAGCTGGCTGGCCTTAGCAGGCCGCCTTGGAACTATCACCCAGTAGTAGGCTTCTCAGGCCTCCCTGAAGGTGAGTTCTCCACATACTGAAGGTATCAAGTAGGCCCCTCCGGGCCTCCCTGAATGGGAACTGTCAGGTAGTAGGCCTCACTACGCCTCCCTGAGGGTGAGTTCCCCACATACTGTGGTTATCAGTTAATAGGCCTCTCCAATTTCCCAGGCGGTGCTGGGTTCAGGAAGCCAGTGACCTCTAGCTATCATTTCAGCTGGCCTTATCAGCTGGGCTTGACTAAAGTGTTCATTCTCTCCTACTGGTTCCCTCCCGCAAACTCTTTCCTGCCTACAGCCTGGTTTGCCTGCCAGGCAGACCATGTGCTCCCCTCACCGAAGGTCACTATGAGCACACAGACTCCTGAGTCTCCAGCTTCTCAGTCCCTCGGGTTGGATGCCTTACCAAAAGGCAAGTGTCCAGAGGTTCTGTCTTCGGACAGACAGGAAGTGGCCAGACTAAGTGTCTATGTAAATGATTCCAGGCCAGGCCGTCCTGGTGGCTTTTCGGGGTGAGTACGTTCCCCTGAATAGTGATTGGCTGGGGTTCCTTCAGGTTCCCTAGCCACATTTCCTAGAAGGATCCCTTCTAATTGAGGTCGTAGCCTTTGAGCAGGCCCAGGTAGGCCTTTCATTTAACCATGTTTATGGAGGTTTTCCTGCAAGGCTTATAGCTTGCTCTATGACCCTAGGGAATGTGCCCAGTGTGACCTGAGGGTGAGTGGTTCTAGCATTTCAGTTGAATTTTCTGCTTCGGACAGTTGTCCCTGCCAATGGGCATGCACTCCACTTAGCATGGTGGCATGGGTATATGGAGAAAGCATCATTTGACACACTATGAGTTCCCTTCTGAAAGGGAACATCTCAGGTTAAGACTATAACCTATGTTCCCTGAGAACAGGGAAAGAGACACTGCGTCTCCTTGCCATGCCTCGGAGCCTGCCTACCGAACAGTCCCTTCAGACGAAAGGATATTGTCATATTTACAAGGCGCCCTTTTATACTTCCAGGTCGCATGTTAATCATTCACATTAATGATTCACGGGCTGTCGCCTGTCAATGTGATTTGATTGTGATTTCAGATACCGGTCACGCCTGAGGCATTCCCCCAAAATGTCCTTTGACACAATGTCTCGTTCCCCATTCTCAGGGAACATACAGTAGGTTACAGTCGTAACCTGAGATGTTTTCATGCTAAAAGTTCATAAGAAAACATATAGGGCCCTATTTTAACGATCTGAAACACAAGTGTCAAAGTGCAAAGCACAAGTAACTTTGTGGGCGGGTCCTGGCGCTGTTGCTATTTTCCTGGTGGGATAAATGCCTCTTGCACTGGGCGCAAATCTAAAAGGGGTTGGTCTGAAGTAGCTTCATTATTCATAGGTGTGGTTTGGGCGTAACGTGAAATAAACCAATCAGAGCCTCATCCAACATACCCTTTAAGAGCAGGTGCGCATGTTGCATGACGGATTGTTATTATAATGGCGAGTTTACCAGGCGCGAGCCAGGAGCTGTTCACAGCCGAGGAGACCGACGTTCTTGTCAGGGCAGTAAAAGACAGAGAAGTGATGTTGTATGGGGATGGGAGAAACCCTCGCACATCAGTGTCGGTTAAACATTATATACGTATGTTTGCCACTATTGTGCAAACAGGTCTGATCCTTCAGTACTACAATTAGCATTAAAAAATGGGTAATAAGATTTTTTCATCTTCATGTAAACCACAATGGTTTCCCTCATGTGTTAATATTTTTCCTTGTTATAATGTATGATTTGCAAAAATAAAAACTGCTTCATCTGTGTTGATGAGAGAATCAAAGTGTATGCGCGCTGTGCACCCGCTACATTATGGCCAAGCATACGCGCTTAAAATAGCATTATGAACAACGCGCAACGCGCCACTGACTTTAGACTGGGTTTTTTTCTGGTCAGTGGCGCAATTGTGTTTTGGAAGTGTAAAATAGCACCAGGGAATGTTTACGCCGAAACACGCCTCCTTTTTGCGCCGATCCGCCCAGGGAGCGCAAGTTCATTCCCTAGTTTACCGACGTGCGTCTGTGGAGGGAAAAAGCCCGCTTTGCGCGCGTGCAAAATAGGAATGAGACATGCGTTTGTGTATAAAGTCATTTGCGCTGGGTGCAAGATAGAGCCCATAATGTAGCATCTTTCAAAAAAAAAAATACTATATAATATTATCCTCTAAAAAGTAATATATATATAGTATCCTCTAAAATACAATATTATCTTTTTTATCGCCTTTTATATTACATCACATATTTTAGTAGTTATCATATATTAGGTATCATTTGAAAGCTTAGAAACTCAGAATTCATCCTGTGAAAAACGTTTTTAAATTGAACGTTGTGTTAGCATAGAAACGGTACTCTAAATTATTTTATCTGGCTCCTCCCCTTTTGGTCATCATTATATATCATAATTGGCTTTATGCACAGCTGCACTACTTCCTGAACTTAAGCCAGCTCCTTGTTTCCTCTCTGCTTTTATTGGACAAATTGATTAATTCGGGTGTGCCTGACCTCAGTAGTCACGGCAACAATAATCAGACACACTTTAATTAATGAAGTTTGTCCAATAATGGCGGACAGGAAACAAATTGTTGTTGTTGTATGTTGTTTTAAAAGTTTTCTTGAGTTTCCTTTTACTGAAAATTAGCAAACATATTTTTACTAGAATACCATGAAACCAGATGAATGAGCCAAAACAAATGTGTGTTATACTGTAATGTTTTCTCTTTAGACATTCGGGGATATGGAGGGTTCTGGATTGCAGGTATGTTTCAGCAATCAGCTAATCTAACCACAGATATTATTGGATATTATAAATGGATATTTTTATCAATAGTGTTGAAGTAGGTATGGTATAGTTAAGGTACAAGTCTTAAAATTTGTCTCAGATCATATTATAACCATGATGGCAAAAAGTTTTTTTAGGCTTTCTGACATTAAACCCTTCTCATATAAAGCATCAACAAATCTGATGGTGAGATGCTGTATCTTGGCAACACTTTGGCATATTAACAATCTTTGCCTCCAATGCCCTTTCGAAACTATTTCAATATGGCGACAGCACCACCTATTGGTCAAAAGTCATAGGGGAGAGCAGGGCACAACCTAATGCTTTTTGACTTTCTCAGTTTGTGAAAATCTACTTATGTTTCAGAGTATTTTTTTCACATTAATTTCTCACATGTCTGGTACAAATATTTGTTTCATTAATACAGTGTATACTTTTTCTTTATTTCTTTAGATATAGGTGATAGGCAGGGCACATTGTAACATGTGAGGGGCACATTGTAACATGACCATATGACAGCTTAACATGTTATCTGATCTAATCAAAAAATATACATGACAAACTAAAACATTTTGTGAATAAAATACAATTATTCTTTTGCATTTTTTTTTATAAATTCTAAATTAAATCATTTTGGTGTTTGACAATGAACACAATGCACAACTATACAGCAGTGGTCAAAACAATAGGCAAACAGATGAGGAAACTTATTCAGACATTCAGAAAAACACAGAGCTGAACAAAACACTCCACTCACAGCTCTCACGTAACAGGAGATTAGACGAGACAACACAAATAATATTTTCTAAATGTTCCCCTCTGCCTTTATTCGCATTTCCCCCATAGTTTTTCCACAGAAATTCATAAAAGTGAATTATGCCAATTATATCTGTAACTGTATAGAATAATAGCATAGTTCTAATAGCGGGGCACATTGTAATTCAGTGTTACGTGCCTTATCTGCGCAACTGGAATTTTTAACCGGGTGATCTTCTGCTAGTTAGTGAGTTAGAAATCTAACGGCTAAATAACAGACTGGAGATTTAAATAATATCAAATTTGTCTCATTTTAAATAAACAAAAAATACAAATGAATAAATAACTTAAGCAATTTTCTTGTTAAATAAAAACTCAGTGATATCTCATATTTTTGGGAATTTCTTTTCTCTAGTGTGGATATGGTAACTATTAAATAGCCTACACTAAGTTTCATCATGCTAGCATATGTGGAAGCATTTAAATCATGTGTGATACAACTAACCCCGCGTTAGTATGTGTCCCGCTCACCCCTACTATGCAAATGCATTTTAAGTCATTTTAATTTTTTTTTTTATTTAATCACCATTTTGGATTCTGTCCTAATAACTTCAACAGCTGCTGGTGGCTCTTTAATTGCCTTTTGCAGTTATATTTTAGTATGTTCTCATCTTTTCAGGGTTTATGTTGTCCTTCTGGTCCACCTGGGCCTCCTGGCCCCCCTGGCCCCCCAGGACCAGACTGGGGAACTGGATCAGAATTAGAGTCCTCTGAAATTGGCCCCACTGGTCCTCCTGGACAAAATGGGACCTTTGGGCGTCCTGTAAGAAATCCTCCCCTCATTTAATCCCATGCATTTTAAACCCTTTTTGGAATTGTGTTTATGTTGCTGTTTATTCTGTTTTTTATGACTCAGGGACTTCCAGGTCGACCTGGAAAACCTGGTCCTCCTGGTCCCCCAGGCCAAAAGGTAAATTAAATATTAAAATTATTTACATATGCCTAATAATAAAATTAAAGACAGAAACTTATTTTTTTTTCTCTTTCTTTTAGGGAGACTGTGGTGAGCTAGGGGAAAAGGTAAAACAAGTGATGCTAACATATTTAATGAATCAGATTTTAAGATTTGATAACAGAATACTGAAATATAACATTTACAATCAGACATTCACATGTCAGAAGCCTTTTCCATTGGAAAGTTAATCTACAGTATGTTTTTCTCTCTTTAGCAAAGCTCCTCCTCTGCTTTCTCTTTTTTCTCCAATTGGTTTCCTTCCTGGGAGACTAGCGGGCCACAGGTATCTTAAAGTCATGCATGGCTACAAACTAACTGAACTGTGTGTGGTGTCACAAGAACGTCTCGGTTATGTATGTAACCCTCGTTCCCTGAAGGAGGGAACGGAGACGTAGTCAACGTGTCGACTGATTGGGATCACGCTTAGAGAGCCTTTCATCTTCGAGTACTGTTAAAAAGAGCCAATGTAATTGCCGTGCGTGAAGTGAATGCACACACTAGTTTTTTTCCCTGAGGAGCCGAGCATAACTCAGAGTCAGCGGTGGTCCAGCAAATACTGGCGACGGGACTATGTCTCCGTTCCTTCCTTCAAAGAACGAGGGTTACATACGTAACCGAGACGTTCCCTTTTAGTCGCTCACGTTCGACGTAGTCGATGTGTCGACTAAAAAGGGGAACTCAACTGGAGCAAGAATTGGGCACGTATCCAGTCCTTAGGAGGGGAATGGTGCAGCAAGCCGACACATGTGAAGATGTGAAGATCTAATCATATTTAGATATATTGAAATCATCTTCCATTGCGATTTCCTGTATATCTAAATATGTTTAGATCTTCACAGTGAAAAGTAAAACTACCGAAATCTCTGTGTAAACAATGAGTGATGTACACACGCAAACGATCACTTCCGGGGCATGCGCAGACCAAAGCGCCTGTGTCTTCAGATCAGTTGGACATGGCTGTGGTTGCAAGAGGTAAAAACGATATAAATACTGTTCGATTTCTCACACAAACTGCTCGTTTCGTGTCTTAGGCCATCAATGTGTACTTACATTCATGAGTCATTAAATCATGTTTAATTTGGACTTCTCTGTGCATGCTCTTTGTGGTGGGCCCCGTAAATCTCCATTATATGACTGATAGACAACAACGGTTTGACCAAAAAATATAAAAATTGAAAATACTGTGGAAACAAAGACACCTACATCTTGCGGATGCCCTTGAGGTAAGCTAAAATATATCAAAAATTAATTTCAAAGTGAACTATCCCTTTAATGTGAAGGGTGCCTACGGGAAGCAGAGGTTAGACTAAGTTGTTGCCCAGCCCTCAACCCTAGAATATCTGTCAGCGAAGTACTCTGTGTCAACACCTAAGTGGGAGCACACAGTCATTTAAGAGGAGCTCATCACCTAAGTGGACAAGTGCAG